AAGCAGGAGGAGTGGGGGAGGGAGAAGCAGGCCTCCCGCCGAGCAGAGAGCCCAATGCAGGGCTCGATCCCAGGACCGAGATCATGACCTGAGCCGAAAGCAGTCGCTTAACCAACTGAGCCACCCAGGTGCCCTTGGGTGATGGACATTAAGGAGGGCACGTGATGTAAGGAGCACTGGTTATTATATAAGACTAATGAATCACTGACCTCTACGTCTGAAACTAATAACACATTGTATGTTAATTAATTGAATTTAAAAAAATTTAAAAAAAGAAATGGCAGAGTGTTAACAATTGTCGATACAGAATATATGGGTGTTCACTGTACACATCTTTCAAATTTTCTGTATACTTAAAAGGCTTCATAATAAAAAAACTGGAACATAATGAAGTCAAAGGAGTCTAAATGTAATGTGGTACCTTCCTGAAACAGAAAAATGACGTTAGCAGAAAAGCTGGTAAAATACGAATCAAGTGTACAATATAGTGAATATTACTGTACTAATGCAAATTTCCCAGTAAAGGTACCATGGTTTTATAAGATGTCAACATCAGGGGAAGCTGGATAAAGGGAACTCCCTGTACTATCTCTGGGAATTGTCTATAAACCTAAAATCATTCCAAAATAACAAGTCCTTAAAAAGCGGCAACCAGTATGCAAAAGCTACAAGTTTTTATTTTATTTTAGTATGTGTATAATCGGACAACTTCAGGATCCAATTTCTACAACAATGACCTTCCACACGTCTCTAATTTGGCACAGAGACTCCAACCAGGAAGCACGTTTCCACGGGACCACGTATCGGGCAGAAGGGAAGCACGTCCATGCCCGCTGCCCGGACACCAGTGCCGCGAGTCAGACGGGCCTCGGTCCTCGGAGGAGGGTGAAGCCGCCCTCTGGGCAACAGCCCCCTTGTTCTCCTGGCTCCGGGAGCTTTCCTTAGTTCAGCAGAGATGCGGGCTGCACCGTCTGCTTGTGCAGCACTGACTGAAGAACTGCAAAGAGGAGGAACCAGCAGCATCAATGTACGTGCCCTGCCGGGTCTGCAGAGGGCCCAGTGGGCCCACAGCCCTCCAGCCGCGCCCACCTGTGCAGGCAGAAGCACACGGACCTAGCTCCAGCCACAGCAGCGTCTTGCCATGCTTGGGGCGTCTTAAAAGCTGTTCGTGCGTATTACCTCATTTAATCCTGGTGCCTGGTGCTAGGCCTCATCTTACAAAGGACTGGGGACACCTGCCCCCATCCCCACCTTCGCTGAGTTATAAACACTTCACCCAAAGGTCCCTCTCTAACCACAGGAGATCCTGGTGCCTCTCCCCTCCAGACACCCTAACACCCAACTTCCTCCAACACCAGCTCTTGGCTTCATGGCAGCCCTGCAACCAGTCCTTCCCTCAATATGTCTGCAGTCCTTCCACTGTGAATGGACGTGGCTGAAATCCAAGGACCGTGTGGTGGGTAAGAGCACAGAGCATGGAGTCCCATGGCTTGTGTGCAGTCTCTGCCCCACCAGACACCATTGTGTGACCCTGGCCAGGCTCCTGACTCTGAGCCTTAGGTGACTCATGTGGAAAAGGGAGATCATCTCACTATGTAGCTTGCAGGGTTGTTTGAAGACTAAATGAAATTACCCCATGCCTGCCACATGATGAGAACTCAATGCATGGTACCCACTACTCTTATACCTTGTATAGGCGTGCTTCACATTTTCACTCTTGTTTTTTAAAAATGTTTTCTCTATTACTCCTGGAATTTGGGGCTGAGAGGGCCCTCAGAAGCCAGAGAGGGCCATCTTAGGGGTAAGGAAAATTCTCAAAATTTCCCCAAAATGAGGTCTGTCAGATGAGGATCTTGAGATGAGACAGACTGTCTAGGTTCCCAGGAGGGTAGGAATCACAACCCTATGTCTGTTCCATGTCTTGCCACCATTTTATAAACACACATCCTTTATACTACAACCACAGCATGTATATCTTACAAAACTATGTTTGACTAAAACACAGAAGATGAAACTTCACTTTATTTTTTTCAAGTAAACTCTACCTCTAACATGGGGCTCGAACTCATGACCCCGAGATCAACCGACAGAACCAGCCAGGTGCCCCAAGGATTGAGACTTTAAAATGGCAGTAAATGTCATGAAAAACGTCTCCTGCATGAAGAACAGAGAGGGACAAAGGCTTACTTTCCTAAGAGCTGGGGCTTAGGCACCAAATCTCAAAAAAGAACAGTGACCAAGAGGAACTCTGGGCAGCGCCTTTACTTGGGCTCAGTAAGCCTGAATGCCTAGAAATGAAGTCAGCAAAATGCCTGCTTGGCTGCCTTACCCAAGCCAGAGTGCATCTCAGCTCCTACCACCACCTTTGTGCCTTGGGGGGGCTGGGGCAGCTTGGGGGCGTCTGGCCTCATCTCTCCCGGCCATACAGGAGGAAAGGCAGCACCAGGCCTGCACTGGGGAGGAAGACAGAGGCAAAGCCTCTCTTCCTGTGCAGCCTCAGAAGTAGGGCTGCGTATCAATCATCAGGACCTTAAGTCTGACAGGTCAGGTCCCTGTCCTCCTGCCAGGCGGCAGGGAGGCTGTGCATCTCCCTGAGCCAAGCAGAAACAAAGTGCACACCTCTGAATGACATCAGCGATACACAGGCGCACAGGTACATGACATTCAACCTCGTGAGAAGATTCTCCCTTTGCCAACTCCTTGCAATCCTCCTGAAGAGTCACAGTCAGGGGGAGAGTTTCTAGCAGTGCTGGTGTTCCATTGACCCCTCCCTGGCCCTTCGTAATCTCCTTTCTTAACCAGAGGGAGAGCAAGCCTTCAGCTCAGAGACTGAGACAGGCAACAGTTTCTGGCAGGAACACTCTTTTGTGTTCTCTTTATTAGGGTTATCTTCTATTTTACAGTGACGGACAATAATGTCCATTTATGTTAGAGATATATTTCCCTTAAGTACATTTGCAGCTTTAAAGGCTGGGGGGGCGGGGGGGAAGACTAGGAAATAATAGATTTCTATATGGTAAAAACATCACACACGTTCCTGCCTACCGCTATAGGCTCTTGTCACATCCAGTCGCCTAGAACTACACTGACCATTTAGGTAGCCACTAGCCACAGGTGACTACTATATAATTACTATGTGATGATACTCAGTTAAATTAATTACAATTAAACACAATTGAAAATTCAGTTCCTCAGTCTTACCAGCCACGTTTCAATAGCCACATGTGGCCCACAGCTATCATAGTAGACCATACAGCTGTAGAACATCTCCTCTGTTGCAGAAAGGGCCACCGGACAGCATGAGCCTAGAATGCCACTCCCAGCTCACCTGGCTACTCACCTGGAGGTGGTGCTAGAAGGCCTGGTTTCTCCCCAAGTAGTGGACGCTTGGCACGCTTGGGATGGGGGCATCCCAAAGGAGCAGATCTCTTGGAGGGGGCTGCTGGAAGCAGGGGAGGGGCAAACAGACCTTTGGGGTTGCCCAATCCTGCAAAGAACGGAAACCAAAACATAAACAGGAAGATACGTGATGAACCTGGTTCCAGCTGCTCTCCCCAAAGGGACTTTTCCTTAATCTTTAGAAAGGGGCTGAGCAGGGAGCACCTGCCACACACAAATCTCAGCTCCTCCGAGCTCTACCAAGTCCTCTCTGGGCCCAGACTAGGCCTCAGTGTTTATCCAGGGGCCGGCAAACTAGAGTCTGGGGGCCAAATCCAGCCTGCTGTCTGTTTTGGTACGACCTGTGAGGTGAGATGGTTTTCTTGTTTTTAAATGGTTATATAAGTATGTACATAATATCCTTAACTTTGCTTCTTGACCTGTAAACACTAAAAATTAACATATTTACTATCTGGCCCTTTAAGAAGTTTACAAACCCTTCGTCTAGTCCATGCGTGCATGCATGTCTTGACATCCTGATTCTCCACCCTCACCTTTTCACAAGTGGGTTTTGTTCCAAATGTTGTTACACTTGGAATATATTTTCTCAAACATCAGAAGCAGTAAGGTTCCCAGACAGGTCATAAAGGCAGATCCGTAACACATGTGAAGCACTCTGTTCCTGAGAATCTAACATCCATCCTCTGGAACACTGGCCTGGACATGGTCATGGCCTAGCACTCTGTCACCCTCCCTTGGGCAGTCAATCTGCCCTGCTATCCTCACCCTGTTGAACAGGGCATTTTTTTCACAGTTCATGCCAAGGCCCTGAAGCAAGCACCTAGCCCTTTCTGAGGGTCTGAAAGAATTTTGTTTTTAAACTTTCGGCAAGGATAAGAAGCATTTAGAGCAAAAAGATCTCCTCCTGAGCCCTTCTCTTCTTAACTCACTCGCTTCTCACAGGAACCAGGTGGTAAGAATGCCCAGGGGTGGACCAAGGGACTGGGCTGAGGCACAGGGGAGCGTGGTGAGTGCAGCAGAAGGAAAGGAAGGAACACGAGGTAGCAGGAAAGCCCAGGCTGTGACGGGAACAGAGAAAACTTGAAACTATACTCCCAATCATCCCAAAGGTCACCAGGTCAGAAAGGGAGGGGGCACAGAAATGTTCCCCCTAGGGCTGTGGATCTTCAACACAGACTGACTTTGCCAATAAAAGACATACACATGTACAGCGACCAAGGCAAGAAGACACATTCCCTCTATTTTGATCCACAATAATAGTCAAAGTGGAAATACTGCGCTCATAAGAGTTTTGGCTAAAATGATCCCTGCTCACATAAAAGACCAAAGCAATATTTGACTCTCAGGCACAAATGCATCCGAGGTCCAAATTTTATTTAAGGCCCAGGAGAAAAGCCACCTTTCCACAAAGTCTTCACTGCCATCTTTGTCTTTAACATGGCAGACTGAAAATATGCTCTCATCCAGTTTCTTCTCTGCTCCCACTGTTAATACACAAGGAGAACAGGAGAAGAGACAAGAGTGTACGAATATTTGGAAGATGAGGAACAGGGGGAGTAGGGACTAAGTAGAGGAAGCTGCATTGTAGGTGCCTACAGAGGAGTTAAAACTCTACCCTTGGGGCACCTGGGTGGCTCAGTCAGTTAAGCAGCCGACTCGTGATTTCAGCTCAGGTCATGATCTCAGGGTCGTGGGGTCAAGCCCTGTGTCAGGCTCCGCACTCAGCGGGGAGTCTGCTTGTCCCTCTCCCTCTACTCCTTGCCCTGCTCACGCGTGCACGTTCTCTCTCTCTCAGTCTTAAACAAACAAAAAAACCTCTTTACCCTCAACAGGCAGAAAAGGCTCAGACACCAGACACCCCAGGAACCACAGGCATAATGGACACTGGGCTTGACTGGAACTCTGTACCCCAAGTGGTTAGTGCCACACCCAAGTCTCCTCCCAGAGGGAAGAGATGGATGTCTGATGAACAGGCTTGAGCAGCAGGATCCAGTTCGGCTGGAAGTGAGGCAACTCTGGGGATTTTCAGTTATGTAAGTCAGTCAGGTCTCCTTGTTTTAAGCTGAGTTAGGTCCCTGTCACTTACAATGGAAGGAGTCCACAGTAATACAACCTCATTTTAGGCAGATGTCAGATACTTTTTACGCCAACTACTCAGAAAAGCCTGGAAAACACTATGGGATTCAGAGTGCCTATTAAGGGAACACCATTTAAGCCATCCTCAATGCGGCCTCCAACCTTGATAGGAGAGCTCCTCTACACTTCCCCTGTGTTAAAACTTAGGCAACTCATTCAAGAGGAATGGCACCCACTGAAACCCCAGGTGTCTCCCCTAGTCTTCTGAAATCCTAGCATTCACTGAGAATATGCCAATGAACACTGCAATTGCTCTAAACTGTCCTGCTCTCTCAGAGCCACTGCGAGCTCTTATTCCTGGAGGGAAGCACTGACCTGGTGGTGGAAGGAGAGCCCCTCCTGGTCTGTCCCCTAACAATGGGGGCTTGGCAGGAAGGGGGGGATGAGGGCCCGAGAAGGACGGCTTTCCAGGGGTTGGAAGAAGTGGAGGCGGCTTGCCCACGACAGGGGTATTCCTGCCCTGAAATGAGGAATGATCACTGCTAGCCAAAGACTCGAGCATCTCAAAGCCTGGAAAAATGAAGAAAATAAATGGTCACCAGAAGTCTGCTGCAGAGGCTGGTGAGCTGCACAAGGAACAACTCGGGGAATTCAAGGAAGCCAGTTTTTTTCTGACTTGGAGGTTTCTATGATCAAAGAGAAACAGGATGTTAACTAGACTTGTTGCGGTCATCATTAGATGATATATACAAATATCAAATCATTATGCTGTGTACCTGAAAGTAACAGAATATGTCAATTATACTTAATCAATTAATAAATTACATAAGCACTCAGGGAAAAAAAAACCTATTGTGTTTTAAGTTTATGAACCCCCCAACCCTGAGAAAGTAGGTACAATGAAAAATGTATAAAAATAAAATACATTCGGGGCGCCCAGGTGGCTCAGTCGGTTAAGCGTCCGCCTTCGGCTCAGGTCATTATCTCAGGGTCCATGGATTGAGCCCTGCTCAGCGGGGAGTCTGCTTCTCCCTCTCCCTCTGTGCTCTCTTGCTTTCTCTCTCTCTCTCAAATAAATATCAGCTCAGGTCATGATCTCAGGGTTGTGGAACTGAGCCCCACATTGGGCTCCTCCCTCAGTGGGGGGTCTTCTCAATATTCTCTCTCTCCCTCGGCCCCCACCCCACCACCCACTCTCTCAAATAAAGAAATCTTTAAAACAAACAAAAAAAATAAGAGCCAGGGTGCCTGGGTGGCTCAGTCGTTAGGCGTCTGTCTTCAGCTCGGGTCGTGATCCCGGGGTCCTGGGATCGAGCCTCGCATCCGGCTCCCTGCTCGGCGGGAAGCCTGCTTCTCCCTCTCCCACACCCCAGCTTGTGTTCCTGCTCTCGTTAATTCTCTGTCAAATAAATAAGTAAAATCTTTAAAAAATAAATAAATAAATAAGAAACAGCCTGTGAACTTGGAAGAGGACCCTGAGCCTCAGATGAGACCCACTTCTGCCCATCCATTGTTTTCAGTCTGGTGACAGGACCCAGCTAACCTGTACCCAGACTCCTGCCCCATGGACACTGCAAGACAATAAATGTGAATTGTTTCAAGCTCCTAAGTTGGTGGTAATTTTTTACATGGCAAGAGAAAGCTAATATACCCGCATATCAAAAGACCCTGAAAAATCTGGGCAAAGCCTTCAGCCAGGTTCTTGTCTTGGCTCACACAAGAATTCAGACGGACCTGCTTTGTTCCCAAGGGATTTGAAACAAAAATCACAGACCAAAGTGGAAAATAAAAATATTATTTAGCAGACTGTAGAAAAAATAGTATTAGAAGTTTCAATCTAGTAAACATGTTTTTGTCCAAAATCCAATGTGGGATAAACCAGCGTCTATCATTATACCCCAAATTTCCTTTTTTATTTTTTAAATTATTTTTTTATACCCCAAATTTCCTAATGTAATGCCAGAAAGTATACCTCATTGCACCTTCTTTCCAAATATGATCCTAACCTACTAAGTGATGGCCTGAAGATAAGCGTTAACTGTTTAGCCAAAGTGATATATTTTATTTGTAAAAGTCACAACATGAGTTTTCTTTACACTACTAATAGCAGAAACCCACTTTCGTCATTTCCTATTGAGTAATAATTGGGAATATTTGAAACTGGCTATAAACTTAAGCAGCACAAGATTAGAAATGGCCTAAACTGTCCATCGATAAGATCTGATGAAATTAAGTCAAGTCTATACTCCAGAATGATAAGTAATCATTAAAAAGAGGTAATAACACAATCATGTTCAAGATATAATGGAAAACCTAGGGGCGCCTGGGTGGCTCAGTCGTTAAGCGTCTGCCCTCAGCTCAGGTCATGATCCCAGGGTCCTGGGATCAAGCCCCGCATCGGGCTTCCTGCTTGGCGGGGAGCCTGCTTCTCCCTCTCCCACTCCCCCTGCCTGTGCTCCTTCTCTCACTGTGTCTCTCCCTGTCAAATAAATAAAATCTTCAAAAAAAAAAAAAAAGATATAATGGAAAAACTAAAGAGGTAAGATAATGTTTACAGGATGTTACCATTTGAGTGTTAAGTCTGTATACACTTGCCTCCATGTGGATAAATATCTATATAAATATCTGTGAGAACCCGATACTAAATTAAGAAACAGAAGTGGGAGACCTATTTTTTACCGTTTACTTTTTGTTTCTTTTGAATATTGTATTGTGTGTATCATCTATTTTTTAAAATACTAATTTTTAAAAAATAAGCCAACTTCAGAAAAATCTGTGCTTTTAAGAAATACACAGACTGTCCCCTCTCATGCTCTCTATCTCATTCTCTCTCTCAAATAAATAAATAAAATCTAAAAAAAAAAAAAAGAAATACACAGACTGTCTTCAAAACCTTAAGACAAGTTAGTGCTCTAATCTTGTTCTACTAAATTATTTACGTCACTATAAGAAAATAAAGTCTTTCCCCTGTAGATGCTAGTGATTCATCTAACAACTCTGATTGTCTCCAGAAAGTTTATGTATATTTATGTGCAAGGGAGGGCTCAGGCGCCCCTAAGGAAGTCTCGTGAAGATGGGATGAGGGCTTGGTCATTAACCCAGCAGCACCTGAAGGCAGACTCACAGGACAGGACACAAGGGCTCCACAGGGATGAGTTTCTCAACCTCTTGTCCCTCTACCACCTGGTATGTGGGCACTGACTAGGGCTTCCAAGTGGCCCCATGTCACCCACTTGGTAGGGCACAACACTAAATGTCAAAAGAGCAAGCAAAGAAACCCCCAGCCAGGATGTAAGCCTTCAAACTATGCAGGACAAGACTTATAAGTTCATGTCATCTAAGGAGATGCCTTGAGACAAAGGGAAAAAAAGGTTTCTTTTTAAAGCTGTGGAAGGAAAAACCATGCACAGGGGACAGACCACGTGGAGATGCACAAGGAACGGCAGCCACATGACAACAGAGGCAGATTGGGAGCGATACTTCTACAAACCGAGGAACTCCACAAAGATTCCTGGCAAATGCCGGAGCTAGAAGAATCAAGAAAGGATTCTCTCTAACAGGTTTCGGAAGTAAGCCTGGCCTGGCTTGATTTCAGACCTCTAGCCTCCAGGGCTGTGGGACAATTTCTGTTATTTTAAGCCACCCAGTGTGTGGCACTTCGTTACTACTAAACGGCAGCCCTTAGAAACAAATACGCTGGGCGCCTGGGTGGCTCAGTTGGTTAAGCGACTGCCTTCAGCTCCGGTCATGATCCTGGAGTCCCGGGATCGAGTCCCGCATCGGGCTCCCTGCTCGGCAGGGGGTCTGCTTCTCCCTCTGCCCCTCCCCCCTCTCATGTGCTTGCTCTTTCTCATTCTCTCTCTCTCAAATAAATAAATAAAATCTTTAAAAAAAAAAAAAGAAAAAACAAATACGCTGACAAAAAAGCCTTTGTGAGTCTTCACTAGCCCATTCCCTAAACAGATAGTGAAAAAGGTGCTCAATATTGTTAGTCATTAATGAACTGCAAACTAAAACAATACTGACGAACATTTCATAGTCCTCCGGAAGACTGACAGCACTCAAAGTGAGGGAGGGCGTGGAAGAACCAGAGCTGTCAGCCACAGCCGGAGGCCACATTAAGTGGTAGCACCACTTTGACAATTCTTACTAAATTAAATATACGTCTACCCTATGGCCCAGCAATTCCACTCCTAAGTATTTACCCAAGGGAAATGAAAATATGTCTACAAAAGGACCTCTATAAGCAATCTTATATAATAGTCAAATACTGGGAACGACCCAAAAGTCCATCATCAGGGGAATGGACAGCCTGTGGCATATCCATACAATGACCTCCTGCTCAGCAGCAAAAGGGAACAAGCTATGGGCTCATGCAACGGTAAGGGTGAACTTCTAGAGCATTCTATTAAGCAAAAGAAGCTAGTCTCAATAAAACAAAGACTGCCGGGTGCTGCTTTTTAAAAATAAGTATGTGTTAAAGATTTTATTTAAATCGCTATTAAAGAGGAAACCAGTAAGGTGTTGCAAGCAATTAAAACAACCCAAACAAAGCCACATTTTTTTTAATTCTTATGTTAATCCCCATACATTACATCATTAGTTTTAGATGAAGTGTTCCATGATTCATTGTTTGTGCATAACACCCAGTGCTCCATGCAGAACGTGCCCTCCTCAATACCCACCACCAGGCTAACCCATCCTCCCACCCCCCTCCCCTCTAGAACCCTCAGTTTGTTTTTCAGAGTCCATCGTCTCTCATGGTTCGTCTACCCCTCCGATTTCCCCCGCTTCATTCTTCCCCTCCCGCTACCTTCTTCTTCTTTTTTTTTTTCTTAACATATATTGCATTATTTGTTTCAGAGGTACAGATCTGAGATTCAACAGTCTTGCACAATTCACAGCGCTTACCAGAGCACATACCCTCCCCAGTGTCTATCACCCAGTCACCCTATCCCTCCCACCCCACCCCCCACTCCAGCAACCCTCAGTTTGTTTCCTGCGATTAAGAATTCCTCATATCAGTGAGATCATATGATACATGCCTTTCTCTGACTTACTTCACTCAACATAATACCCTCCAGTTCCATCCACGTCGTTGCAAATGGTAAGATCTCATTCTTTTTGATACAAAGCCACATTTTTATTTATTTCTTTTTAAAAGATTTATTTAATTTTACAGAGAGAGAGAGAGAACATGCACATGTGCACACACGTAAGCAGGAGGTGGGGAGAGAGAGATCTCAAGCAGACTCTGAGCTGAGCACAGAGCCCAATGTGGGGCTTGATCCCAGGACCCCAAGATCAAGACCTAAGCCAAAATCAAGAGCCGGAGGCTTCACCGACTGGCACCCCTTTAAGATTCTATTTGTTTATCTGTTTGTTTGTTTAAAATATTTTATTTATTTGACAGAGAGAGACACAGTGGGAGAGGGAACACAAGCAGGGGGAGTGAGAGAGGGAGAAGCAGGCTCCCGCGTAGCAGGGAGCCCAATGTGGGGCTCGATCCTAGGACCCTGGGACCATGACCTGAGCCAAAGGCAGACGCTCAATGACTGAGCCACCCAGGTGCCCCAAGATTTTATTTTTTAAGTAATCTCTCCACCCAACATGGGGCTCAAACTCACAACCTTGAGGTCAAGAGTCACGCACTCCACCCACTGAGC